GGAAGTTTTTAATGTTCGAAGTTTTATCGTGTTTTTAATATTCTGTTGGGTGCTGACCAGAGTGGCTGGGGAAACCCAGCCAGATGGGTGGGGAATAATAATAATAATAATAATAATAATAATAATAATAATAATGGGACATCACGATGGGCAAGGCAATGGAGAGGCATAACTCTTCAGTCACCAGAAGAAGACTATCAGACCACACAAGAAGAGGGCATTCTTGGACTGCAGGGATTGCAGCGCCACACCCTCCTGTGTTTAACAGGTGAGACAGACAGGTTGCAATACACCTGTTTGGCAGGCAGCCCCACGGAAGTCTATGGGACTCCCGAGTAGACATGCCTAGAATTGCACCACATGCTACTTGCAACATCCTCGTTACTCTCACTCTTCCAATATTTATTTAGTGACTGTGCTAGTACATGGGTTTTATACTTAACAAGCCCAGAGCTAGCCCTGGTCTGAAAGCAAAACAGGGTGCTTGTCCTTTGATCCCAAAGAACCCTTTTGAGCTCTTACGATTCCATGTATCAAATCTCACGCCAGCAAGCGGGGGATGAAGCCAGAGGAAGGAGAACTCCAGAAACTCACACCAACGTTGAAACAACCCCTATGGCCTCTGCAGAAATCAAAGTGGGCCAGGCAATTGGGATTCCACCCCAGGACAAAGAAAACGTGGGGCTGCTGCCCATCACGTGGCTGTTAAGAGCCGGCAAAAGAGCAGCAGCCCCATGTTGCGCTTTGATCACACCATTTGCACAAAATGAACACTCTGCAGCTCTATAGGCTGCTGCTGGCATAGGCTGAGATTGGAGGCAGGCAGAGCGGAGCTGCCGAAGGACCACACTGCCCCCTAGTGCGTGCGAGCGGAAGTCACAGCTTACCCCACAATTTAGGAACTTGGCAGGGCTGCTTTCTGATGGCTTCCGTGGCAGGAGAAGCAGTAAAAGGCAAAAGGGAGGGCATTAAGAGTAGGTCCAGCTCAACCAACGAGAAGGTCCCTGGGGGCTTCAGTCCACAATTATCCACAAGCTGTGTGCAAACTGGCCCTCCAGCAAGGCGCTCCCTTTGCAAATGAAGCTGCACAGCGTACAGATCAGATGTGTAACAAATCAGCAGTCATGGTTTGCAAAGTGCGGTGATGCAATGCTGCCTTCATTCAGCCCTATGGAATTTGGGAGCACAAACCCATCCATTTAGGAAGGGATTAGACCAGGGTTTCCCAAACTTGGGTCTCCCAATGGTTTTTTGGACCACAACTCCCATCATCCCTGACCACTGACCCTGCTAGCTAGGGATGATGAGAACTGTAGTCCAAAAAAACCGCGGGAGACCCAAGTTTGGGAAACCCTGGATAAGACAAATGAACAAAGGATAAGGCTACTACTCCTGGGTGCTTGTCAAGACGCCCCTGCCTTTCCTCCATGATCTGAAGTAGCACGCTTGCAAATACTAGGCGAGGAACATGGGCAGGAGGAGGCTATTCTCCTCCAGTCTTGCTTGGGGGCTTCCCATAGGCAGCAGGGAACAGGACAACTGGCAACCAAAATTTTGTGAATGACAAAGGATGTTTTCGGAAGGAATGTTTGAATGGTCTTCCTCAGCTGCAGTCGTATACAATAATACATGCTTGGGAGCAAGCCCCAATGGACTCGATGGGGTTTACCTTTGAGTGTATAGGACTGTACTGCTTACCTGTGTGGCGTCTATTGCATTGTACGCATGTTCCAAAGTTAGTGTCCACTCACTGCTTTTACAATGAGAAGTCATTCCTCAGACGAGGAAAACATCCAGCATTTAGTTCTTCAAAATAAAAGATCAGGATAGCATTCCGGCTTTGATCCAGGCCTCGTTGCATAAAACAAGATTTTAATGTGTGACTAGTTGCAGAAAAACACAGATGGTGGCATGCAGAGCCACATAGCAGAATCCACAAGCAAGGGGTAACAGGCATAAGCCTGGACGGCTCAGTTGGTTAGAGATGGGGCTGATAGCGCCAAGATTGCAGGTTCGATCCCCGTATGGGACAGCTGCATATTGCAGCGGGTAGGACTTAGACGATCCTCAGGGTCCTTTCCAACCCTACGGTTCTATGATCTAATTCGACAACGTTGCTAGGGTCCACCAAGTGATTCTTAATTGCTTCCCCTGCTGCCTATACCATCACAATCCTATTTATAATTTTACAGAACAGGAGCAGAGTGTTTAGCCTACAGAATTTGCTCCCTCAAGAGGCGGTGAGGACCACCAACTCCTCCACATGCAGCTGCTGGGTGACCTTGGCTAGTCACACTTCTCTGAAGTCTCTCAGCCCCACTCACCTCACAGATTGTTTGTTGTGGGGGAGGAAGGGAAAGGAGATTGTTAGCCGCTTTGAGACTACTTAGGGTAGTGATAAAGCGGGATTTCAAATCCAAACTCCTCTTCTTCTTCTTCCTAGCAGGAGCCACGTAGATTTCAATGCTGGCCTCTTCCCCTCCCTCCACAACTTCAAGTGGTAAAAAACTCTCATCCTTTTAAGAACACACAGTATTTTTCTTCTGCTCTGTGTCTGGAAGAATTGGCTGCAGCAAGAGATATTTATGGCTCGAGGGAGAAGGAGCTATACTTGCTGGCGAGACCATTCGAGAAGTCTTCATTTTCTTCAACAGCGGTGGAGCTCCTTGTGTGGACATTTGTCTCAAGGAGACTGGGAGATAAATGGGTATGACATGCCATCTCCTATCCCTAGGACTTTGCTCATATGAGCTCCCCAGATCAATGGATTCTATGAAGCTATACCACTTATTTGTCAAAGCCCCTCCAAGCCAGAAATTAAGGGATCTCAGCCTGTCAGATGCAAAGTGTGGTTCACTGCACTGGCTGTGAATTTTCTTACAGGTGAGCAGGGGAGATGCTCTGAAGCCAGCAGTAAAAGTTCATTCCCCTGCTCTACACCATATCTATTAGAAATTCATAGCGTGGCTTGAACGCACTCAACAGCAAGATCATAGAATCATAGAATCATAGAATCATAGAGTTGGAAGAGACCACAAGGGCCATCGAGTCCAACCCCCTGCCAAGCAGGAAACACCATCAGAGCACTCCTGACATATGGTTGTCAAGCCTCTGCTTAAAGACCTCCAAAGAAGGAGACTCCACCACACTCCTTGGCAGCAAATTCCACTGTCGAACAGCTCTTACTGTCAGGAAGTTCTTCCTAATGTTTAGGTGGAATCTTCTTTCTTGTAGTTTGGATCCATTGCTCCGTGTCCGCTTCTCTGGAGCAGCAGAAAACAGCCTTTCTCCCTCCTCTATGTGACATCCTTTTATATATTTGAACATGGCTATCATATCACCCCTTAACCTCCTCTTCTCCAGGCTAAACATGCCCAGCTCCCTTAGCCGTTCCTCATAAGGCATCATTTCCAGGCCTTTGACCATTTTGGTTGCCCTCCTCTGGACACGTTCCAGTTTGTCAGTGTCCTTCTTGAACTGTGGTGCCCAGAACTGGACACAGTACTCCAGGTGAGGTCTGACCAGAGCAGAATACAGTGGCACTATTACTTCCCTTGATCTAGATGCTATACTCCTATTGATGAGGCCCAGAATTGCATTGGCTTTTTTAGCTGCCGCGTCACACTGTTGGCTCATGTCAAGTTTGTGGTCAACCAAGACTCCTAGATCCTTTTCACATGTACTGCTCTCAAGCCAGGTGTCACCCATCTTGTATTTGTGCCTCTCATTTTTTTTGCCCAAGTGCAATACTTTACATTTCTCCCTGTTAAAATTCATCTTGTTTGTTTTGGCCCAGTTCTCTAATCTGTCAAGGTCGTTTTGAAGTGTGATCCTGTCCTCTGGGGTGTTAGCCACCCCTCCCAGTTTGGTGTCATCTGCAAATTTGATCAGGATGCCCTTGAGTCCATCATCCAAGTCGTATACATCCAAGATGTATACTGCACAAGCTGTGTTCAGAAAATAATTATGCAGCACAACTTCCCCTGCCCCCCAAACTACTGTTTGTTCAGTTTCAGCACTGGAAACTGAATGAACATAACAGCGCGGAACGCCTGCTTCCATAAATTGCAATCTTTTTCCTGGCCTTCTCTGAGTCGACAGAGGAATGAAATGAGCTAAGACTGCCCTGCTGGCCTGGTCCATTTCATCCCCAAGGAAGAGGAAAGGAAAAAGAGAAAAATGGTTTGAGTCCGTCTTTTGCCGAGAAGTGGAGAGCAGCGTTGTCCCTTTACCTTCTCTTTTTAAGAAGCGGACATGAGCACCCACGAGTCCCCTTGAGCACTACATTGGGGGGAGGGGAGAGCTACTGTTCTATTATTGCAGCACTTGCAATCTTGTGCTGAGAATACAAGCAGGGCTTGCGCAGTTTGTTTTTTGTTTACTTTGTCCAGGAAAGCACAAGTGGAAAATAAGAGCAGCTCTGATGGATCCGGTCTCTAGCTGAGCACACAGTTCTCACGGGGCCAAGCAGATGTTAATGGGGAGCCTTAAAAAAGCACCTGAGGGCAAGCAGACTTTCTCTCCACCCCCAATTCCCAGCCGCTGGCATTCAGAAGCAACACGGGCCCCATCAGAGAAGGGAGAACATTGCCATCATGGAAAGAGAACTGATCTCTCTGGGCACAGTCAGGGCCTCTAAAAGCCCAGCTCTTCTCTGTGGCTAAGCACTGGGCTTGTTGAGAAAAAAGAACCACTATCTATGTTCCTCCTAAATATTCAATTCTGCGACGAATGAATGATCCAGAGAGGACGGGCAAGAGGGAATAAGCTCATTTCATTTCGCACACAAGAGACAGCGGCAAACAACTTCTGCATAAAAGGTTATTGACTGAAAACTTAAAAAGCAATTTCAGTATACTGAAATGGGGGAAAAAACAAAAAACCCAGACCCGGCTAGAACACAGTCTATCTACATAGGTGTTTGGAACAGTTGCACCACCTGGTGGCAAGCAGGGACACTACAACCAACTAATAAAAGATGTCATATAGCTTCATAGGACTGTAGTTATGTTACGGTTTATTTATATAATCAAAATCCAGGCAGCCTCCAGGAGCTTACAGTAGAAATTTCATCTGTGCATAAAGGCAACAGAGGAAGGAAAGGGAAAGGGTACCAGGGGATACATATAAGCAAATGCAGATGTGTACAAAATCTGTGATTCTGTGTGTGTGAGAGAGAGAGAACGTAGGGGGTTTTTTTTTGTGAGAAGTGGCAAGACAGGAAGGGGAAACCCCACCACCACCAGATGTTGTCAGGCTAACTCCCATCATCCTTGATCACTGGATCCTTGACATGCTGACTGCCGCTGATGGGAGCCAGAGGTTCCCCTTCCCAGGGGGCACAGAGGACAACTGCCGAGCGAAGTCTACAGAAAAGGTGGGTTTAGAAAAAGAACGGACAGAAGACAGGTGGAAACAGCACACAGGGGTTTGCAGGAGAGAGCCCCCCAGCAAGGAAGACCAGGCAGAGACGAGCTCAAGGGAAACAGGGGGCATTTTGATGCTCAAGTGAGATTTGGAGAAGCGAAGGACACAGCGAGGGGCATGATGGGAAACGAGGGCAAAAGGTTCAGCCCTACTGAAATCAGCCAAGGAAAGCTGATTTCAAGCCCACCCATAAGCATGGGTCATTGGCCCAATAATATAGGCCTAAGGGCCGCATGTGCTTGCCCCCCTTTGGTTCTCACACTGCCTTCCTAAAGCCAGGTCAGGAGGCACTGGGCTTTGGGAAGGAGGCCTGAGGTCTCTGACAGGTACCTAGAGTTCTCCCTCCTCCTTCCCAAAGCCTAGTTATCGCTTTCCAAGCTTTGGGAAGGAGGTGTGAGGGCTCTAGGGCTCTGGCGCCTTGTTTAGCCAGCTTTGGGAAGGCAACACGAGGGCCGGGGGGAGTCAAATTTAGGCCTTTCTCCCCTCACCTGCATGACAAGGCAATGTGTGGCCCACAAGCACTTTTTGCGGCCTACCTCGTCTGAGAAGTTGGACCGCCCTGATCTAGGTATAGCTCAACCAGGGCATGGATAAACAATGCTTTTCTTCTCTCTTCTGAAGTTCTTCAGAGCTTGCTGAGCGGTCCTCCACAGGCTCTCTTTGGAGTCTCCACACAACCTGGATCTTGTGGCTCACCCTGTCTAGTTCCCGGAAGCCCCGCAGGCTCCTGCTATGAAGGTACTCCAAGAGGGCCGGCTGCAGAACGGTGATGGGAATGCTGAAGTTCAGGTGAGGGTACGTCACTCCTATGCTGTTATCCCTCGTGTTGCTGGCAACGATACCTGCCATTGGGGGAAAAATATTAGGAATTCCCAAACATCTGGAGGACCCAAAATCAAATTGCAAAGAAGTGGCTACTTAAACAAGTATTTGAACAAGGAAGCGGGTGGAGAGGACCTTGAGGAAATCTTGTGCAACTAGAGTCTGTTATTAAAAAAGGGGATTTCATAATTCAGAGGAATAAAAGAGCTTCATCCTGCAGAGCTGCAACCTCTCAATTGCACATGGTTGCAATCGAGAGATAAAATCAACCCACAACAAACCTGCCCCCGTGATCAGATACAGTTGGCAAGAATTAAAAACCTATCAAGAGCGTTGCTACACACAACCAATTATCAAAGGCTCAGTGCATGTGTGTGAAAAAGTTGTGTAATGTACTTTGGCTTGGCAAAGACAAATGAGGATTATGAATCACGCCATACCCAGGCATGCATCATTGGGGTAAAGAACCCAGCTCCTCCTTGCATTTGATTTACCTGGCCTTTTCTGTAGCTGGTCCTAGAATCTGGAAAGTCTCTACCACGAGAGACCCATTTGGCCCTGTCCAATTGCCTGGTCTTTGTCCATGGAGTTTTCTTGGCAGGGATACTGGAGTGGCTTGCCAGTTCCTCCTCCAGGTGGATCACGTTTGGTCAAAACTCTCCACTATGACCTGTTCATCTTGGGTGCCCTGCTCGGCATAGTTCATAGCTTCTCTGAGTTATTCAAGCCCCTTCGCCACGGCAAGGCAGTGATCCATGAAGGGGATCACATCACCTTGCCAACACATCACACATAGACACATCACCTTGCCAACAAAGGTCCGTATAGTAAAAGCTATGGTTTTCCCAGTAGTGATGTATGGAAGTGAGAGCTGGACCATAAAGAAGGCTGATCGCAGAAGAATTGATGCTTTTGAATTATGGTGCTGGAGAAGACTCTTGAGAGTGCCATGGACTGCAAGAAGATCAAATCGATACATTCTTAAGGAAATCAGCCCTGGGTGCTCACTGGAAGGACAGATCCTGAAGCTGAGGCTCCAATACTTTGGCCACCTCATGAGAAGAGAAGACTCCCTGGAAAAGACCCTGATGTTGGGAAAGATGGAGGGCACAAGGAGAAGGGGACGGCAGAGGACGAGATGGTTGGTCAGTGTTCTCGAAGCTACCAGCATGAGTTTGACCAAACTGCGGGGGGCAGTGGAAGACAGAAATGCCTGGCGTGCTCTGGTCCATGGGGTCACGAAGAGTCGGACACGACTAAACAACAACAATTGCCTGGTCTCCACTACCCAAAGACATTTCTTTTTGGCAAGCATTTGGCCTACTGAACTGCTGCTTTTAACCTGCCGGGCATGTAAAAAGGGTTGTGTGAGCTCACAACAGCCACCTTTCTCTTCCCCTTCCTAAAACCCTCTGCAGAGGGTTAGAAGGCGCCCCCTCGACAGTGAGGAGATGCATTGTATGGGGCTGCACGGGGAATTCTCTAAAATTGGGTGGTGGGGTTTCGCTCCACCCTCCTCGCCTTGCAGCCACCATGATGTTCCCCCCAAAATCTGCTAGTCCCCCCACACTTCAGAGAAGATTTTGAGGGTGAGTGAGGGTTGTAAGTGGGAAGAGAGGAAGGTTCTGCACTAGCAGAAATCCATCCCACAGAGACAGTGTTGAAGACCAATGTTGTTTAAATGTTAGCAGCCTTGAACAAGATTTCACCAAGTACTGCTTCCACGCTTAACCCAGCTCATTGCACACTAAGGACTAGGAACTTGCTTTCATCACAGCAGTAAGTATGAGATTACAGGATTCCATACTTGCACCAATCCCTACACCTACATAGTGAGATCATGAGAGAGCAAGGAACAAGGAGAAAGAGGCTGTACCTAGGAGTTTCCCACTGTGCGTGGAGAACAGGGCTCCCCCGCTGGAGCCACCATGAACTGCACAGGTTGCCTGAAGCATCACAGGCTCATCTCCCATAGTGATGACTGCTGACAGGATCCCAGATGTTACTGATGGGCCGCAGGCCTGGCCAAAGACGCCGAAACCAACGATACTCACATCTTCTCCTGCATGAAGAGAACAAACCAAAGCAATGAAAAACTGCACGAAAAGTCCAGTTTGTGTATGACAGAGAGATGGCAAAGCTCCCAAGTCTCTCCAAGGAAGAAGACCCACAAATTGCCCTTACCACCTAACGGAAGTTCCTGTTTCTTTGCAACGTGAGAAGCAGTTCTGAGATGCACAGTTCCCAGTGGGGAGAAACAAGACAAAATCCTACAAGAACCCTCAACAATAACTCCAGAAGCAAGCCACAACGGAAGCCAGCAAAAGACTTGCCATCAACACTTCATCCCCATCTTCCTTGGAGACCGTGATCCAAGGTGCAACATTAGACTAAATCTCTTTCCATTCTATTTCCAGTGACTTCCTAGACTTCCCAAAATAGGAGCATTGTATTGCAAATCAGAGTTTAATTTAATAATTAATTTCATGACATTTAATAAAAAATGAATGAAGTACAGAAAGCAACGGCCCTGCTTGCCACAGGCAACATATTGTATTGATTTTGGTCAGATTTAATTCGGACCATAGCTGGGATCTGGGGATGGAATTGAACACTGATTTCAGATCCATGAAGGCCACGAAGAGTTTACCCTGAAGAGGCCTGGTACACTTCTTGGCTAGGAAGGACAGCATTAGACAGTGGTCTGACGTTGAATGGTTCTCGCGAAAGGCTGCCTGGGCTTCAGATAGTATATTATGTTCATTTAGAAAAATTGTCAGTTTGCATACAGCTTCCCAATTATTGAATGCAGGCTAATTGGCCTATAATTGGAGGGTACGTTTGGGTGGCCTCTCTTAAAGATTGGGAGTACTATAGCATGCAAGAACCAATGATCCCTATCTTGAAGTCTGAACAAAATGCTTGTTTAACCTGGAGGTAGAATGTCTGAATTGTGCATTGCTTTGTAACGATTTGTTGGGTCTCTGGACCATAATAAAGATTGATTGATTGATTTTGGTCACTTGAATTGAATCCACCATCTAATTCAACTATTCACAGAATTATAGAATCATAGAATTGTAGAGATGGAAGGGACCACAAGGGCCACGTAGTCTTAACCCGCTAAAATGAAGGAATCTTTTGCCCACTGTAGGGCTCGAACCCACGACCGTGACATTAAGAGTCTCGTGCTCTACTGACTGAGCTATCCCAGCTGTCCCTGTGTGGGAGGGGGGAGGCACAACAGGGACATATTCACACCTCAAAACGGTTTCAAAGCTTAGACTTTGTACTTGCTCAACAGAGGTTACTCAGGGGAAGGAGTCTAGCAAGATTTTTTTTTAATGCCACTTTCAATAGAACAGCCCATATCAAAATGATTTAGTAGGCAGAATGTTATAGGGCCTTTGGTTTATTCCCCACAATAAAACCACAAGACCCAATGGGCAGTGACCCAAAGGAGATGGGCGGAGTGTCCGGTTCTCACCTTTGTAAAACTCTGACGCCAGGACGGGCTCTGTGGAAGTGGGCAGGTCATCTTCTAATTCTACCAGTGCCACATCATAGGGAGAAGAGTCCTTGGTAGCAAACACCACTTTCCCTTTAGCTACAGAACTCCTAGGAGCAAACAGAAGGAAGCATTAGGGAGACAGCAGATACAGATACTTGCAATAAGGTCTCTTAAACAAGCGTTGTCAGCATAAATGAGAGCCATGCCTCCATGTTTTTCATGATGCCCTGTGAAGTGTGTTAGAAACAAGTCTCACTGAGTTATCCACATTTGGGTTGATCTGCACATTCAGAAATAGTCAACTTACCTAGTGGCAAACATACATTTACCCACAACATGGACAATCCTGACTCCCCAGAGTGCATATACAGTGGTACCTCGGGTTACAGACGCTTCAGGTTACAGACGCTTCAGGTTACAGAGTCCGCTAACCCAGAAATATTACCTCAGGTTAAGAACTTTGCTTCAGGATGAGAACAGAAATCGTGCAGCGGCAGCACAGCAGCAGCAGGCGGCCCCATTAACTAAAGTGGTACTTCAGGTTAAGAACAGACCTCCAGAAGGAATTAAGTTCTTAACCCGAGGTACCACTCTACTTGGAAGATGCACACTGCTGGAAATATGACCTAGCCATGTATGAAAGCATCAGCATTATGGGCACACAAAAAGTGCCCCGCGTGGCTCTGTAAAAATATGAAGCAAACAGAATTCCTTTTTAAAGGAAGTGTCCACTATATTGACACTCAGGTTTATTATCTCTTTCCAATTCACAGGTGATGGTTTCTCAATTTCTAATATAGTGCACTGAATGGGGATTCTAGGTGCCATGTGATTTGCTTCTCTACAAGATCAACATCTGGCATATACCCAGACTGCTCACCCCTGTGGCTCCAGCCCATTAAGAAACCCAGATCTACCCTGTTGACTGAGCACCGCAGGTTTGAATGCTCAAGTGTCAAATCTTGCAGAGACTAGAAGATGCAGCAAAGCAAACAGAACTGGACCTCAGCATCTCTCAATAGAGGTGAGAATCCAAACATACTTTCCGTGGCTGGGCTGCAACCTAACGCAGACACTTGTTGCGCCGTTGGCCACGTGTCGACAGGTCAACACCAGTCTTGAGTTCACGATCACGCCAGATCCCCAGGTGAGGCCCCGTTCCACCAGAACCACAGCAGCCAGCATTTGCTGATGTGGCCCGTCTCTGGCCACCATCTTTCCGTGAGACTTGGCCACAAGTTCCAAGGGGTTCAGCCACGTTTTCAGAGCCCGGTGAGGCCCAGAAAGGGCGTTCCGGATGCAGTGTAGAATACTGTTGACGGCACAAACCAGAGTTAGACCAACCCATTCGCTGGATTTCCAGCAAAGCGGAGCTACGATTATCCCAACCAAGTGAAGGCCGGTTTCTGATAACGCATAGACGCCGCCCCCTTCGGTGCCGGGCAAGCAGCGAGCGTCGGTCAGGATTAGGGCATCGTTTTCTCCGGATGTGTTGCTCACAATCCCTTTGCTGAGGGTGTTCATGAAGATGTCCGGGCAAAAGGAGCCAAACGGGGAGCCACAGGCAAAGACCGGGTCGCCCTTCCTCAGCGTTTCGGCCGCCACGCAGCTCACCCCGCCCACACCATGGGAATCGCCATCCAAGATCCTCAGCAGTGCAAACCAGGGCAGGATATGTGCCTCGTCTTCTGGGGTGCTGGATTCCTCTTCAAGCTCCATCTCTGTGCCAAAACGCCACTGTTCAGTGGAGTTGAAGAGTTTGGAGAAAGCATCCTGGAAGGGCACACAGGGGAGCATCAGGATGAGTTCGGCCTTGTGGCAGCGGAGGCCGCTGGGTGTCTCGTGCCAATTTGAAAGCGGGTTGAATCTCAAGGCTGGGGTGTTCCCCGCCAGATCTCCACCTAGCCAGCTCCTATTGGGAGCCTTAAGACTGCATTCTGCTGGCCTAAGCACTTGGATCTGGATGTCCGGGGGGAAGCTATCAGGGAGCAGAAATCGGCTCTGGGCCCAGTCTTGGTGCTCGGCTGGCAGGAGGAAAGGAGAGAAGACGGAGCCATGGCAGAGGACAATGGCCGGGTCCGGCGTCAAAAGGACGCCGCTGCCACTCCAGGGTCCTTGGGGCACAGATCCGGGCGCGTGAGAAACACGGACGACACAGCCAGCTTTCTCTGCTATCACCTGCAGAACCTCGGCCATTGCGGCGAGGAAGAACGCCTTTCCTTAGCGGCACCGAGAGAGAAATCCACTCGGCATGGTGCAAGAAGTAAGAGCAGCTTAGGAGGGGGATCAGAGCCTTGCAGAGGGAGGGCGAAGCTTCGAAGTTGTGCAAGAGAACTCGGGCGAAGGAGGCACGTGGGGACTGCCCCGGGCCCCCTGGGATCTGTTCGCTTAGCTGGAAAGAGCAGGTGCAAAACTCACGGAGATCCCCCTTCTCCTGTGCGCGATCAGGGCTCTGCCCGGCGCAGCTCGAGGGGGCAAAGTCCTAAGGTTTCGAAAGCGCGCGAGTCAGCGGCTGCAGCCGGAATCAGAAAGGAGCCGAGCGAGCAAGGTCAGGTGGGGCAAAGATCCCGCTCCTATTGGCTGCTCTGCCCGGGCAAGCGAGCTGCGGTTGGCTGCAGCGGCTCGTGCTGCGGACGTCCTCCGCGATTGGCTGCTTTCCGGCTCAGCCGGAAGATTTCCTGGCAGGATCGGGAGCTGGTTGGTTGGTTGGCTTGCCTGCTCAAGGGCGGGGGCGGGGCTAGGGGGAGAGCCTCCCAAGTAAAGCGAAGCTCGCCGCGGCACAAAGCCAGGATTTCGTAGGATTGGGGAGTTGGGTGGGACCCCTGGGGGTCATCTAGTCCAACCCCCTGAAACGCAGGGATTTTTTTACTCAGGAGTAAAAAAGCACATATATTTGCCATGCCAAAGCCTTATTGTTCCTTGTGTCACAAATGGGTTAAGTAAAGGGGTGTGTGTGGGAGATTTAACTGGTTGCCTTTGCTCTCTTATGGGAGAGGCTGGATGGCAATCTATCACGGCTGCATCAGTGAGGTTTCTGCCTTGCAGAGGGCTGGACTAGAAGACCCTCAGAGGTCCCTCCCTTCCAACTCTGCGATTCTGCCATCATCCCACAGGTGGTGCAAGTAGACTTAAACTACTCTTGAATTTGTTGAAAATAAATTAAATTTATAATCATACGCAGGTTTATTTAATATTTTTTTTCTAAATCTACTACCTCTGTGAATTTTGACTTTGCCCACAAAACTGCATAGAACAGTACTATATTCTCCAGAATTTTTTAATGGTTTAGCTAAGCTTGCTATCATTGAGTAAATGTTTGTCTTTTCATAGAATTGTAGAGTTGGGACCCTGGGGATCATCTAGTCCAACCGCCTGCAATGCAGGAATATGCAGCTGCCCCATATGGGGTTCGAACCTGCAACCTTAGCATTATCAGCACCACGCTCTAACCAACTGAGCTATCCAGCCATCAGATTTAGATTCTTTTTACCACTTTAATTTTACAGAAAACTGGCTATAGTACCGTTGTACTGATAATGTTTAAAGTAGCACAACAGTTGTAACAATATGTTAAGTAGAAAATTAGCAGACCCATAATGTAGAGTTGCCAGGACATCACCATTTTAATAGGTTAAATTATCAGACCCATAAGTAGTAGCAGTTGCCAGGACATCACCATTTTTGCCTCTACATAGCCTCAGGCATTATTGAAATATCGCAATGTTTATTTTGATGTTGAAAAGCAGGTATTGCCCAGCCCTAGTACTGATACATCGCCCAGGCCTAACAGCCATGATTCCCTCCTCAGGGACAATATTCAGCAGTCCTTTCCTCTTCACAAATTCTCTGGCCACACCTGCAGCCCAGGAAGTTCCCTTGCTCACATCCACTGTCTACTGATGCTTCCCTGATGTTAATCCTTGAGAGCCAAGCACACAGTGGGTGGGGTTGAATCTACCAGTGCTGTAGGACAGCTCCCTGTGCAACAGCTTTCTGACTGTCAAACACAATAAATCGAGTGTGAGCTGTTGCAGGGTCCAGCATCACATTCTCATTTATCCACTTTTGTTCAGCCAAAGTCTCTCTCTGTTTCCTCAGTTCGCCATGCAGCGATGCACTCTCTCTTTGGAGGATTCCTGACGCACTGCACTGAGCTCTGAAGAACCGGGTGGGAGCAGGAAACTGAAATTTGCCCCCATTGCACCTGATATTTCCAATATCCTGCAGCAGCCCAGCTAGAAACCCCTGACACTTTGGCTCCAGCTCATTGATTAGGGTGCTGATAGGGGAAATCTCAAAAGGGACGCGGGTGGCGCTGTGGGTTAAACCACAGAGCCTAGGGCTTGCCGATCAGATGGTTGGCGGTTCGAATCCCCGTGACGGGGTGAACGCCCATTGCTCGGTCCCTGCTCCTGCCAACCTAGCAGTTCAAAAGCACATCAAAGTGCAAGTAGATAAATGGCGTTTCCGTGTGCTGCTCTGGTTCGTCAGAAGCGGCTTAGTCATGCTGGCCACATGACCTGGAAGCTGTACGCCGGCTCCCTCGGCCAGTAAAGCGAGATGAGCACTGCAATCCCAGAGTCGGCCACAACTGGACCTAATGGTCAGGGGTCCCTTTACCTAGGGGAAATCTCAGAAAATTAAGCCACACGGCTCTTCTTCCTCCTTCCCAATCCAGCTGGGTTAACAGTTGTTTTTCTTTCTCAAGAAACTGGTGGAGCTTCTCCAATTCCAACACAAGCTTTTGCTTCTCAGCTTCGGTTTTTGCCTGATGATCCTAGCTTGGCTTCCCTACATCTAATTTAAATGACAAAATCTTGTGTCTCTCTTCTTCCAGAGTTTGCAAGCAGTGATGTATTTTCTCCTGGTAAACTGGGGCAGCTTTCTCTATAGGAATCATGCTGTGATCTTTATGCACCCTGGACCTGTTGCAAACCATGCAGATGGATGTTTGATCGTTTTTCGCAGAGCTTCAGGGGTTCCTGGTTTCTCTTGCACAGCTTTTGTTCTTCTTTGCTTGCCGCATGCCGCACTGCATGGCCAACTCTTTGATATTACACAGGTGCCTGATGGGCTGGAAGTTCTGCCAGGGAAAGCGCTTTCTGCAATGCAGGCAGGCAGAACACATTTGCACTAGGCCTTTCGCAGCACTGGGCAATGCGGTCCCAGCAGAAATTGCGCCCGCAGTCTATGGCCATCATTGGGTTCTGAAAACAATGCAGGCAGATGGAGCAGGTGGCTTCTCATTTCAGGTGTTCATGTTTATTTTAGTTCAGAGGCTCATGCAGTGTCTTGGGAGACGGGGAGATAGCTCAGTCATAGAGCGCGAGGCTCTTAATCTCGAGGTTGTGGGTTCAAGCCCCACTTTGGGTTAAAAATTCCTGCATTGCAGGGGGTTGGACTAGATGAGCTTTGTGGTCCCTTCCACTTCTATGAGTCTATGAAATATAGACATTAGCTCCGGAGGTACTCTGAATCCACTCCCCATTTTAGGAAGAACGTGCTTTAGAGGCTTTAAGTCGAAAAGACTGTGTTTTATGTTTCCTCCCTGCATGCCTGTCAAACTGTTTTTACTCACCTCCCATAAATTCTCCTCCCCATCTCCTTTCATACTTGTATTTTTATCCCCTGCCTTGAAACTGTCACATCTCCCTGCCATTATTTAGTTCAGTTGCTAATTGTCTTATTAAAAATTATTTTATCTCTCTATACGTAATTCCTTTCAATGCCTCTGCTGAACTCTTTTTTTTTGCAGAGAAGGGAGACCTCTCTGCCTCCTGACTTCTCCGACTGCATTACTCACCCATGCTGGCAGCGGGTCCAGCTGCAAAATTACAGCCCAGCCAGGCTGTTGCTAGGCAACACTGGCTTGCACCAAGCACGTGCACAACTTTCCTTATCCCCTGCATTGCCTAGCATTGGCTGAAAAAAAACAATTTCCTAATTTTAAAAAAATGCAAGATGTCACACTACTACTAGGAAATTAGAGCAGTAGATTCTATTCAAGATACGCATAAACATGTCCTTTCTTGCATTTCCTCTTGCTCTTAGATATGCATGCTTTCAAGCAGCAGAGCAGGTTGGGTAATCTGTGTGCCATATCTGCCACAACAGAATATAAGGAGCTGCTTGAGGTTGCAAAACATTACCTCAGTCTCCTTACCCATCAAGTTAGTTAAGGTTGGGGCAGGGAGATTCTTGTGCCAGCCTTCCCCCAATATGGCCTGGGAGAAAATGCAAAACTTTTAAAGAAATGCACAGAATGAGATGGTCGCAAGGATCTTACTCAAATAACATGTATGCAATGAAGACAATGGCCTATTTGGACAGATTAACTCTTTTCCTTGCTTTTTTACTAGGGGCTGTGCTCCTACTTGCTCCCCCCTCCCCATGCAACTACCAAGCTCTCTTTTCACCTTCCCTGCCATTTCCAGGCTCCTCCCCTCTCTTGTGCAACCCACACCCAGTACACAAAACAGCTGGCATTGTCACCTCCAGATCTTCCTCCCGCCCCCTCGGCTGCAGCTACTAAGCACTTTTTTCACCTTCCACCCAGCTATGAAAGAATGTACATCTAAGAGCAAAAGCTGCAATAAAGAATACTTTTTTTTTTGCATTATCTTAAATAGAATCTACTTTAATTTTCATTTTTATTCAAATGGCCACTTAAGTAATAGCAACTAGCTGAAATATACAAACAGAAACTGTACCAGTTATACGCTTGTTCAGGCTCTACTTCTGTGTTAACTTCTGAATCGGGCTTTAACCTGTTAACGAATTTTCAATCTCGTTCTTTTTAATCAACTCCACATGCAGAAAGGGCTTCCTTTTCCTTTATAGGTTTTCTTCTGAACCAACCAGCTAACCTAAACATGCTTCAGAGCTTCACATGCCAGAAAATATATTATTAACTCCCTCAGTTACGTAACTGAACATATTTGATGGCTAACATTACTATGTGACATACTTTCTACTACCTTCAAGTCACATTTTTTTTTATTAAAACCATTCATCTAAAATGCCATTATAGATCAGGAACTGTACACCTTTTATCACTAGTTTATTTTGTGAGCATATGAACTTCTAACATATTAGGATTATGGCCAGACTCAGTCCACTAAGTGTGATGGGTTGTTCTTGTTTGTTTTTATTAAAAAAACTTTATTAAAATGTTTTGGATACAGACAAACCTTCTCTGCAAACATGTTTCACGTTTCCAGAAATGGGAAGTTAAAACATTTTGCTAACAGAATGACATGTTCTCTCGCCTTCCAATCTGTAATCCAGTTTCTAAAGTATATATTAAACTTTATATCCATACATTGCAAGGAGTTAAGACTTGTCTAATGACAATACATGGCAAGGCGGAGGGGGGGAAAGGTCAGAGCTATTCACAAATACTTTCTCCAGTGGTTGAGACACCACCTTCATAGAAAACTATGCCTCTACTGGGCACAAATTCTATAGCTCTGTTCACTGGGGTCTTCCCTTTAAGCATGGAACTGGAGTATGTCACTTCTGGTAAGGGGTTACCAGGTCACATATTGTTTCAAGAACAATTCCATTAGCATTCCTTGAATGTAACACCCAACAGGAGAACTCTAGGTGGTCAATACTGGAGATTCAAATAATGTAGTAACTGATCGGTTAAAGTCAAGTGTTTGCATGACCACTGTAGTTTGACGTGGTTCTCTACACCTCCTTGGCCACACAGTCATAGGCACGGTGGCCTGGGGAGATATTTACAGATTGAAAAGCTTCTGTAAAATCAAAAGGCTTCACAGAGACAAGATTAAAAGAGAAATCAATGACGATGCTATATGCAGCCATTTTTGGTGAAGACACTGCAAATAGGTCAAGAATTACAAGTATTCTATAAGTGGAAAGAGAGCCTTATTGATCCTGATCAGACTTCTAGTTATGCTTTTCAGGAATAGTTTACTGTCACACGCTTCTTTCTAATGATGGTTCAGCTTAAACTACTCTGGGAGTACCCCAACTGTATTAAGCTTTACAAGTCAGATGCATCAACCGGTGCAATTTAAGTGTACCATGTTAGCAATACATTCTGTTCCCTTTGCTGGCAGAGAAAGTGTAAATTTTCCTGTCTTTACAGCTGCATTACATGCTTCAGTGGAATCCATTAAGTGTTTGGGTAAATAGCAACACATTTTGACACGCCCAAGCGCTGAGTGAATGTGGCAAAACTCAGAAGATTTTTTTTTAAAAAAAAAACCAAAACAAAACAATTTTCACACCACCAGCACAAGAAACTGGAATTTCAAACTATTAATGGCTATGTTAAGGACTTATTTCCCTTTCAAAGATTTTGATGCAGAGACAAAAGGTGCTAGATCACAGGAAACTAA